TATATATACACAGGCCAATAAAATTGCAGCCCAAAATCCTAAACTTTTAAATCTTAAAAAAAAGGAGAACATCTACATTATCTTATACATTTGAATATGTAACGTGGTGTCATGAAGCCAAGATGAGTAAGATAAGCCTGTTTTGAACTTATTCTGTTCTTACAAGAAAACAGAAAAAGTTAAAAAATAAAAGTAGTTCTTCAGATTAAGTAATTAATCTGCACAATGCTGATAAATCCTGTCTTTTAGGTATAACAGTATTATTATGTGCAGTGTACACATCTTTGGTGATGTCACAAAATCATGCTCATGCATACCGAAACTTCCCCCCTTACAACAGGTGAATCTTAACAGTGCACAGTGAGGGTCAAACAAGTGAAGTGACAATGGTTTCTTTGTCCGAAGTCTCTCCACTCCCTCTTTTGGCAATGAACAGGGCAGACAGGATAAGTGATCTTGTTATCCCATGTGTGAGACACTTCCTTCATCGTTGAGATAAACATACAAAACGTGAAAAGAATTTTTATGTTTAGAATTAAGCGGGCACATTACTCTCTTCAGATGCCTATCCACTTCAAATCCAGCAGCTCTTAAGAGATGTTCACAGAGAAACTTTACTGTGGGGACTTTCACTCCTAATTATGGGTGTTGTCAGCATATTGAGTAGGTGAGAGAATACCACTCCTTTGCAGACACTGCTTGTTTAGCTTGAGGATTTCTAAGAAGGCACTTAGGAGGGAGATGAGAAAGTGTGGAGAATGAACATGAGCCAGAACATAGGGCTGAAAATGATTTGCTGTGGTCCCAGCAACACCATAATACTGCTTGGGTTTGTTTCTTTTTATTTAGGAGGAACCGTCATTCATCCCCAGACAGCTAACTACTTACTGTAGATTCGATTTTACCTCGTCCACTTTAATTTACATTTTCCAATAAGCATCACTTTTAGTAACTGAACGACATACAACCAAGCACAAACACACACTCAGCTTTTTCTTGTCAGTGGCACAATCGATCAATGTCTTCCTGTGGGTGTATCCACTGATGGTACACAAAATGCTACGATGTTGGAGAATAACATCCAGAGTGCAGAAAAGATTTGAAACTAATCTCTCTAAGTCAACAGCATAATTTGAGAATCAGTCCTGAAAACAAACATGTTCAGACAAGGGTATGGGAGTTGTTAAAGATGTTATGGGAAAACTAGTAAATCCAGCTATTGTTCATTAAAGGACCAGTGTATAAGACTCATAATATTAAGTGGGATTTAGTGGTGAAGACTGCAGATGTGCCAAACGACGTGTACTGCCAGTTAGGATTCCTTCAGTGTTCATTGTTCAGGAGGTTTTTACTGGAATATGAATCATCCAGAGGTCTCCTCCTCTCCAAAACAAACAAACCTGCTGATTTCAACCAGTAAACACACCAAATAACGCAATTTCATGCTACAAATCAGTGTTTCTCTGATGCGGTTCAGCACATCGAGGACAGGCTGCGAGCCCAGCACCTGCTAACGTGTGCTCACCTTTTTTCTCTGATATCTTAAGATCAAGATGTTCAGGTTTTAATTTTTTTTAACCAGTAGGTCTCATCCTCTCCAAAACAAACGTTACTGTATTTCAAACTGGGAAAAACACTGAATAAAGCCATTTCATGTTAAAAAATCTGCTTTTTCAGATACAAAACTACACACGGCCCCTATCTAGAGCCAGAGTTAGTTGTGTCCATCCTGGGCTTCTGTAGAATATGATGGTGCAACATGGTGGACTCCATGGACAAGGACCTGCTCCCTATGTAGATATCAATGGCTCATTTTAAGGTAACGAAAATACGATTCGTATTTTCAGGTGGTTATACACGAAAGAAAACATACTTATAATATCCTATTCCATTTCTGCCAATATATCCCCGTAAATCCTACACACTGGACCTTTAAGTAGACATGGTCAAGGAAGGTTAAAAGAAATAATTACAATCCATGAGAACACATCCAAATCTCTAGACTTCAGTTTAGGAACTACTAGGTTTTCTCACTTTGCTTATTAGTAACCCTTATCAAATTGTCAGTGAAACCCTAGGGGGTGTCTGTGTCTCACTACTGAGTCATAAGAGATTATTGGTCCTTAAAATAAACCCTAGTCACAGTAAGCACATGTGTTCATCTGAGGCAGGGGCCATGATGCCATTAACAACAGGAACACAGACAAACTGTACAATATAAGTCTTTAACCAGGTTAAGATTAAGTGCATGAAGTACAACTCAAAATGTAGGTCTAGACAGGTGCAGCGGTGTGTTCAATACAGTTATTGAATTGCCTTACTCAACAGTGTACTGTAACAGGGGGCTTAATGAGCAGCACAGACCCAACACAGGCTGATACATGACTAAATATGAGCAGCTAAATCCTTTAATAAAGAGGAATATACTAACTATAATTGTGTGTGTAGGACATGGCTACATTGACGACACCTGTTCCGCTCTGCTGAGAAGCAGAAAAAGCGCCACAGATACACTAATAGTAGTAAATTAAACTAGTTAGGCTATATCACATGAATACTGGTATTAAAAGGTATTTTAGTTAAACGACGTGATGGTGTGTAGTTTACAGTCTGGTGTCTAAATTTCAACGAGAGACGAGCGAGAGAGACGTAACCGTATGTCGTCGCATCTCCGAGTCGACAGTGAAGTAACTTGCTCTTTCTCACAAGATGACGGAAATAACATTTCTTTATAAAACACAGCGTTGCCAGTGTCAAACAACACGACCTCCTGTTAACATAACGTTGGAGCAGCTGGCTAATGTGACAGACAGACTCACCTTGGGAGAAACTGTTGGTCTTGTCACTGTGATTTCATAATGTTCCCACGGTGAATTCAAGCATTTGTGATATCCAGCCGCTCCGAGATGACTCAACAGGACACAAATTAACAGCTATATGTGTTCGTCGGCCATACACGTGGCGGGAATGTACAAATGGCCACGGTGGTTAATACACCACCTCGGTGGGCTGTTTTTTTTTTTTTTTTTTACGTAGCGTCTAACGTCATAGGCGCAAAGCTACAAGAAGCTACAGCAGTAGCAGCAGCTTACAGCAGCTTCCCCCAAAACCTGCAGAGTACTTCCGGTGTCGTGTTAAATATTGTATCCCCGCCAGTTTGTCTTTTGTCTTCGCGGGCATTTGACAGCAGGCTGGCGGCCAGTACTGTATCCCATTTATTTAGGTCTACACAGGGGGAACAGGTTTTATAAATGGTACACATTTAATAGTCTGTGTCACATTTTGTTACACCAAGTATTAGGATTTTGCTTTTTAGGGTCATACTAACTTTGTTAAACCTACCAAATGCCTGATGGATAAACCTATATAGGGTAATATTTATACTAAATATGAAGTTTCAGCCATAACTTGATGTGTCAAAACATTATTTTGTAAATGAAATGGTTTATGAGCTGCATCTCAGCTTCGCACTGGTGTAAAGAAGCTAAGTGTATTTATAGTTTTGAGGTACATTACTTAAGTATTTTCAATATTTAACCAAAGAGTGGGATTCAACTCTATCATCCCTCTTCTACTACTAGTACTACTACTACTACTACTACTATTATTATTATTAGTATTATTATTATTGTTGCAAAATTTTTAATGTATTTTTCAAATTACTTTGTTTTTTCCCCTCTGTATGCATTTTTTAAGGTTATCATTATTATTTCTACTGTTATATCATTATTATTGTCATCATTATGACGACTTTTCCAACACAATTCTTTCTGTTCTTTTTTTAATCGCTGTGATTTTTTCCCTCTCTTTGTTTATTATTATCATTACATTATTAGTACAATTATTATGATTACAGATTACAGAAAAACTGTTTTCATAACCTTACAAATTTCATCTAGTATACTTACATTCTATAATTACCTCTCTATATAGTAGGTATAATTGGTAGTGGCGGAGTCCGCCATTTCTCTTTTGGATCTAAATGACCCACCACCAAGATAATTAGCTGAAAGTTGCTAAAAAGCTCACTTAAAATTATTGTCATGATTGCTCCAGCACCACAATTCTTTCTGTACTTTTTTTTTATTGTATTTGTTTATCATTATCATAATTTTATAGTTCTTCTTGTTCTTCTTCTTCATTTTCATATTCTTATTCTTCTTAATATTATGGCCTCTATTACTTTACTTTACTTTTTTTTAAACTCCCTTGTAATTCTACATTTTCATCACCAATTCCTCCTTTTTACAGTACAACTTTTTTTTCCTCTCATTTTCCATCTATTGTTGATATATTTTGTTCTGCCAACTACTCCGTCTTATTGACTTTGAACAGCATCTTTTGTCTCCCCAGTCTTAACCTATACAATACACAGTCCTATAAAATACTTACAGTAAGAGAAGTCAGTTGGTCACAGTTGTCTGTCAGAGACACTGAGAGGCAACTGTTTTCTGTGGCGCTACCAGTGAATTACTGGTGTTCTGTGCCCTCTGCTGGAACAATTTGGGAACTGAGCTGTCAGTGTCATGAATCATGCACAGGGTCAGTCAGTGCTTCCTGTTACTCATTGGTAGCTGTGGCTGCTGTGAAATATGTACAAAACTGTTGCTTCATTTACACCCCAGGAAGAACAGCAGTGGGTATGCTGCAGCTAATGGGAATCCTACATGAAACTACACTAAACTAAGCACAGATTTGGTCATAATGTATTCCTTAGTAGACACCCACCTATTAAATCATCAAATCTGACAATCTGGCAATACAGTGAGGTCAAAGGGAACAACAAAAGCAAGCAGAACAAATACGTTTGTCTGTAATTAAGTACTATTATAGTTGTTTGTTGATCTGTTTACTGCATGTCACAAACAAGCAGACCTCAGGGCTATGTCAGCTACGGGTGTGACGACTTGACATACAGCAGTGAGGTTAAGGGTCTTCCTGTTTTTCTCTCTCATCTTACTAACAGGCCAAAGCAGTGCATGAGCCTACTTCTGCTCACTAGACCATGTAGAACACTGCAGCGTAAAGCAGGCTGACTGTGCGTGCTCTTAAAAAATTGTCTCGTAAATAAATATGAGTATGAACAAACTTTCATTGACTCCTGTCACCATTACATGCTCGCTTATTGTCCAGAGATTGATAGCTAGATAATTAAGATCAGTTCCCTCATGACAGTGCCCCTATACTGCTCAAGAGAATTTCACATTGTGCACTTGTGCTGAAACACCTTTTGAATACATGGAAATCAATCAAGAAAAGTAAAATTAGAGATAAAAAGAAGTTAAAAATTTGTCCCCACATGTCATAAAAAGTACAGACGCTACAACAGGTTTGCCAATATAATCTTCCTGTTTTCTCCAAATGTTTTTTTATAAATCCCTAATTTTCCTCTCCACAGTAAAGTTTTAAGATTTAAAATATAATAAAATCAAACCCCATTTTCAAAAGTAGCATGTTTATGGTCAGTATTTTTTTTCCGCAATAGCCATGCAGTGTACTTACATACTGCCTCTCTATGTAGTAGTTTTAGTGGTAGTGGCGGAGTCCGCCATTTACACACTGGATTAATGACCTAATACCAAAACAATGATCTGAAAGATGCTAAAAAGCTCAGTTGAGATGAGGGGAATTGCAGCACTGGTGATAATTTAATGTGGGCACGTCACTGTGAGGCACTAGTTTTCAGATCACGCACTGTCATTTGATACATTGCTAAATATCGTAAACAAAGTCTATCCACACGGATGTTTATAGAAGCCTTATTGTCCTTTTCTCCTTTTATTTGGTTATTGTTATATACTATCTTTGCCATTTATTATTGTTCTTTATGTGTTGAGGGAAGACAATTTCTAGATATCAAGGGACTGGGTCAGTGGTTACATGAGGGCTGAATTTAGAGTCGTAACAGATGCTAAATGTATCTGTTTAAAAACTGAAAAATCTGAAAATTTGAGCATCAATTTAACTGATTAACTGCCCTTTTTTTAATTCACTTTTTTTCATTTAATTGATAGAACAGTATTGGGTGTGAAGGGGAGGGAGAGAGGGTATGACAGGCAGCAGGGCGTAAGTCATCTGAGGAAGGAAGAGAGGCTGTGATTTTAAAAAAATCTTATCTATCTTATCTACCTTATCTTATAACTGGTAGAAAATATTTCCGCACACTTACATCTGTGCAGTGTTTTACTTTATTGTTTAGCTTTCGGTCTTTTAGACCTTCATCAGATCATTTATCTTCAAAAGTCTGAAAAGCCCTCAAAATGAGAGAGAGAGTGTGTGTGCATGTGTGTGCGCACACATGCGCGCGTATGTGCCTGTGTGCATGTGTGTGTTTGATGTGAGAATTGAGTGCCAGTATTCAGTGGTGAGGTGTGAAATGATGAAGCTTCTTCTGAGCAGTCTGTTACTCAGTTTTCTCAGTGCCTGCTCTTCTTGGCGTAAGTAAAAATAAAATAATAATATTTCATTATCTCTATTTAAAGCTCCACGTTCAGTATCTTATGACATTTCAATATTAGTTACTTAGGAGTGAATTATAACATTTGATCAAATCAAGTTGATGTGTTTTGGGAATTAATAATTAATTAATAATATTAATAGACTGAGTTAAAGGTATACACAAAGCAAAGCTTCTTGTACAAAGCTTCATGTTGAAATTACTGTGGGCCGACACTTAATGACGTGGAACAAGTGACTATTCATTAAGTCATGTTTAATAAAACTGAAATATTTTGATTAATTTAAATTACAAAATTTGTAGAAGTATCTTGTGTCAAGATTGGGTGGTAATGATTATAGTAATACACATTTCATTATATTCATATATTTTTTGTATTTCTAAAACTTTACATACTAGGTTTCTATGTAGTGTAATGTAGCATAAAGTACTTATTTTTATGCTTTTACACACTTTTATATACCGAGCATATTATACACAATTTTATAATATCAAATACTTTACACATAAATGTTAAACATTGTAGCATAATGCACATATTTTTTATAGATTATATATATATGTCTTATAATTCTCTATGCTATACATTAAATGTATCCCAGTTTGCCTGTGAGATCAATAAAGTATTTCTGATTCCGGGAAGAAAGGGCAGCATAGTTAAGAGTTATTATTATTATGTTTTTTTTGTTTTTTAAATTTGTTTTTAATTTGTTTGCCTAGTTCTGTTTAAACTTTAGGGCCCAACATCTGTAGAATATTGTGAGAGCGCAGGCCATATTGATTTTGTTTCTTCTTTAAATTGTTTTTTATTGGTTTTGTTTTTTTATGACATTGTTTTTTATTGGTTTTGTATTGATTTTTATTGATTTTGGGGGTTTTATGCATAGCTGCACACAGATAAGAAGGAACCAGCCTAAACAGAGATTTATATATAAAAACTAAACAATAAGAGATTCTACGTACATATACAGAGAAGGCCAATTAACAGCAGCATACAATGTGCAGTGGTGTACGCAGTTTCCATAGCCAGACATAAAACATAAAGCTAAACAGTATATAGTATTTTACTTCATTAGACAAAAAAGTTGCAGAAATCAAGCGTCTCTGTGCCTGAAGAAAGGAACAGGATTTATTCAAGAAAAACAAACTTCATTTAAGTTTAGGTTTGGAATCAAGGTTTTAAATGTGTAGCTTGAGTGACAAGTTCAGGTAAATAATAATACCTAAATAGTTATATGTTATGACCATTTTAATTTTATCCCCCTTGAGCTGTTAACATCTTAGGAAGATTAGAACTTTTTGCCAGTCGAAAATAGCATGGATTTGGATTTGTCACCAGCTGAAGTGGTGCCAAATGGGACTGAACAACATCAAAAACAGACTGAAGGAATTCAAGAGTTTTACTACTGAGGGCGATGAGCAGTAGATAAGTGTATCATCTGCATTAGTAAATTACTATGATCTATTTTAAATGCTGTCTATATAAAGCATATCCTCTGACTTAGATGAAAATCTAGCTCCTGGTTCAACTTCTGAAATGTTGCAATATGTATGGTGCCGTGATGACCTACCAAATCATGTATCCCTTTCTCTTTACAGGTGTTTCATCAGGTACACTTGTTGTTACCCAGAGTCCTGATGTCTCTGTCATGGAGGGGGAGACTGTAAACATCACCTGCTGCTGGACACTGGGGTTTGGAAGAATGAGAGTTGCCTGGCTGAAAAATCAAACAAATACTAATAAGACTGAGATTTCAAGATTGATAAATCAGTCTCAAGGATTGATGCCAAATGTGACATCTAACTGCTTACACTTGACCTTTCCGAATGTCACAAGAGAAGACTCGGGAAAATACATCTGCAAGGTGACTGTGGAGCTACCATCTTTAACTGTGGTTAATGGAAATGGTACTGTCATCACAGTTATGGCCAACAACAACAACAACAACAACAACACAAATGAAGACACAGCAGGAGGTAAGTGACAGCTGCCCCTAAAAGGTTTGGATGGCATGTAGATATAGTCTAAGCCTGTTGCCTCTGTGGGTGAATTTCAGGTTCTCATTGGGAGGTAGTGTTCATTTATGTCCTGAGGTGCCTGCCCATCCTCGCCCTCGTCATAACCTTCCTCTGCATCAACAAGTTCGTAACCAAAGCTCAGCTACACACACTAGGTACAATATAACTCTCACCCCATTATGATGATATGGTATACAGTATGTGACAGTTCAATATTACTAAGATTAGAGTATTCATGTTTCAGGTGCTACTGGAAATAAACTCACTGCAGCCCAAAGAACAGAAGAAAACCAAGAAGAAGAGGAGAGAGATGAAGGGGAAATAGAAGCAGAGTGAAATAAGAAAGGCTGATCGCAGCGTCTCGATTGGGACAAAAAAATCAACACGTGTCAGCCATGGGCGGATTATGAGACACTGGGCTCTTGGGCACAGATACAGAGAGCCCCACCACCTCTCCTGCACCGGAGCAAGACACAGTATGTGGTGGATTTGCATTTGCTTTGTAGTCGTTATGCATCCTTTTGTGGTTTTGTGTCTTCTTGTAGTCATTTTGATTTCTTAAAGATAATTTTTTTGTCTGATTGAAGTAATTCTGTATCTTTTTGAGGTCATCTTGTGTTGTTTTGTATTGATTTGTGTCTCTTTGTGGTTGTTTTGCCTGTTTTTGTAATTACTGTGTGTCTCTTTGCAGTTTCTTTGCTTCTCTTTGTGGTCTTCTGCTTCTTTTTTCGTCATGCTGTGTCTCCTTGGGGTTGTTTTGTGACTCTCGCAAGCAGTCTTGTGTCTTTTTGATTTGTTTTGTGTCTCTTGTAGCCATTTTGTGTAGTCTTGTGATTGTTTTTTGTATTTTTCTAGTCATGTGGGTGTCTTCAAGTTAATCTTGTGTCTTTTTGAGGTAATCTTGTGTGTATTTTGGCCATTTTGTGCTGCACTGTGTTTATTTTGGGTCTTCTTATGGTTGTTTTTGTGTCTGTTTTTTTTTTTAATATTTTTTTTGTCTGTTTGCAGTTCCTTTGCTTTTCTTTTTTGTGACTTATTGGAGTACTCTTGACTTTTTGGGTTATTATTTGTCTCTTTGCAGTCATTTGTGTCTGCTTAGGGTTGTTTTATGTCTCCTTGTAGTCATGTTGTGTCTTTTTGTGATTTGTTTTGTCTGTTTTTGTAATCATTTTGAGTCTCTTCCTGGTCACTATGTATTTATTTGAATGACATTTTGCAAGTAAGGGCCCCATAATACTTTGGGCCCCTAGGCCTGTGCCTGTTCAGTAATCCATCTATGGTATCAGCTTTTTATGAGTGTCTGACGTTTAAGATACTAGAAGTGGTTAACGTTGTACAAATCTGCACTTTGAGATGAATCTTGATGCTTTTATTTTGATGTATTTGCCAAGTGGACTAGTCAGCTGCTTGTATGTCCTTTGATTACAGCTGTGCTCTTAAATACATTTCATTAGAACAATGTTAAAACTGTTACAGGACAACAATTGTTTTCATCCTAATTTAAAAATGTACATGATCATATAAAGGCAAAGCTTCAGAAATTTAAAGGGACAGATTATGATTTGGTCTAAAGATGGGCCCATTAAAAGATCTGTAGTAAGACCCTTCAATGGCTTTTTTTTTTCTTTAAATACTTCCATTGTGAGGTTTTCTATTCTATATTAATGTTTCATGTGTGTGCACAACAACTAAAGCAAATTACTCGTATGTGAAAACCTACTTGTCAATAATCCAGGTTCCTCTGGTTCAGGTAAATTAGAGCCATCCTGTGACGGATTTGAAAAGTTTAAACTCTGGTGACTCCTAGTGGTGGTACTAGAAAATACACCACAACAGACAGCAGTTTATAAGCTCCCACTGGATCTGACCCCTGGACACAGATGAATAAACACAACAATCCAGTTAACTAGAAACTGGTAAACTTCCCCAGTTTCCACCAGGATTGTCTACAATGTCTACAAACGGAGAGAGAGTATTTAACTTCCTGTGAAGAAACTAAAGGGTAAACTTAGGACTAGGTTAGGGTTAGAAATGGAGTCAGGCCAAACATGTCACCTGAATCAATGAAAATGTCTCAAAGGAAATACGGATATTATACTGCTTCTCTCCTCAACATCTATTTTGTTGGTGCCTTCTGTCAGTATTTCTGTGTTAGAGTAAAATAAAACAAGACTTTTATGTTCAAACTCCATCATGAGAACAGAGAAGAGGGAAACACTTGTGAATCTCATCTGCCTTCTGTCTGAAGGAGGAAGGAACAAAAGCTGTGGTTTTCACACTTCTCTGCAGAAAACACAGAGGAACACACAAGAAAAGATGATGCCCATTAAGTTCTGTGTGTGCATGCGTACGTGTGTCTGCATGCGTGCGTGCGTGCGCGCGTAGGAAGGACTTAGAGCAGCTGTGACGAGATGAGTGTCAGTTGTCAGCGTTGAATCAGAGAGTAAAGATGAAGCTTCTACTGAGGAGTCTGCTACTCACTTCTCTCTGTACCATCTCATCCTGGAGTGAGTAAAAACACGATAACCTTTAACATCACATTTGTTTAATAGATGTATGCAGCAGTTAAAATTCATGCTCAAAATGCCTTTTCAGCTGTTTGTGATTAATGTGTACACTGATAATGTCAATGATCAAACAGGTGATACATAAAGACTGCTTGGAAATATTGTTTTGTTCCTCTAATAGAAGTGCTCTGAGTATGTGTTAACATTAACATTTGTATCTCTTATTATTTAAATGAACATGTTTCCACTGTTTAAATCTTTCGAATTGATAAATGTGTATTGAGCAAATGGAAGTTGGCAAAGAAAAGTGACACTATTTCTTTATTATTGGATTGGCATTACCACTTTGTCTGTTGACTTGCTTCTGAAATTTTGCAATATGTATGGTGCCATGATGACCTACCAAATCATGTATCCCTTTCTCTTTACAGGTGTTTCATCAGGTACACTTGTTGTTACCCAGAGTCCTGATGTCTCTGTCATGGAGGGGGAGACTGTAAACATCACCTGCTGCTGGACACTGGGGTTTGGAAGAATGAGAGTTGCCTGGCTGAAAAATCAAACAAATACTAATAAGACTGAGATTTCAAGATTGATAAATCAGTCTCAAGGACTGATGCCAAATGAAACATCTAACTGCTTACACTTGACCTTTCCGAATGTCACAAGAGAGGACTCAGGGAGATACATCTGCAAGGTGACTGTGGAGATACCATCTTTAACTGTGGTTAATGGAAATGGTACTGTCATCACAGTTACGGCCAAAGGCAACACAATGGACAACACAACAGGAGGTAGGGACAAAACACCAGTTGCTTTACAGTGTTGCATGAAGGGTTTGACTAATATTTTTCCTAATAATGTTGTGTCATCAGAATAGAATCTGCTCTGTTAATCTGATTTTCTCATCTTAAAGTGCAACTTCATTGAAATCCTAACTCGTACTCAAATTATATTTTTGGGAAAAGAAAAAAAAAATTAAATCCTGTTAATTTCATTGCAATATTTGTGTTTCATTTTTTACTTACAACGAAATCCAGGTTCTATCAGCAGTCCTTCAAAGCTTGCCATCATAATTCCCCTGGCTGCAGTGGCTTCATTGCTCCTCATCATTCTCATCTGTTTCGGCACTCTGAGGAGGAGACGAGGTACAAAGAAAATTGAATAACAGGGTTAAGCGTTAATGTTTTCTTTCACTTGCCTGGTCAAGCAAGTGGGCCAGAAATCTACTTACCTGACATAAATTTTTACTTGCCCCCACACAAACTTATTTATTATACTTATTTAAGATAAAAAAAAAAAAAAAAATAGCGGGTATCAAATGGCAACAACGACTCAGGAGAAGAGGGAGTTATGGGCAGCCGTCTTAGCTGTTATGCAAGCTAGATGTTTTCGGTTCTTGTTATACCACTCCAGAGACATTTTTGGGGGAAACTTGACATGCCTTTCAAAAAATGGACCTGTCTTATCACCCTTGCTCTCAAACTTGTAGCAAACTGTGCTATATATAGTTGGAGTTGAGCACACATCCTTTACTAGCACTGTCCAACTAAACTCCCATTTCCAGGATATTTGAAAAGCTGACTTTTGCTTCAGCTCATAAACTTTGCCAATTTCTCACGAATGCCCAGTTGATACTGCATGCACGCAATTCTAAATAGAGATGACAAGGAAGTGAGATAGCTCATGCCTTTGAGCCTTTGGTAGCCTGACATACCATTTTACTTAGCCCAAGCAACTGGGCAATCCTTACTGTTGAGCCCTGTAATATTACCATACTATTCATGGTCACATCAGAAATAGAATTGATGCCTTGTCCCAGATTAAATGATTGCTTCACTCAAATAAAAAATAAAATAAAATTCTTACTTGCCTAGTGTAGCCATGAAGATGGTTTTTGCTCAGTTTGACTCAGGGTCTTCTGCCTCCACCCAAATAAAATGTAGGTTCATCTAATTTTGTTTGTGGTACATACAGCATCGCAAATCTACATTAGAAAAATATACAGCATTTATATAGTCAAATGTAATTAATTTGATCTATGTTTTTAGATAACACAATACAAGATGAAATCATGAGCAATCAGCCTGTTTTAGGCAATTTTAAAATTCAGTGATACAGTATAGTAAGCCTGTAGCCCTGAACACCTTTACAGAATGGCAACTTAAGGGCTTAAGTTTTTGCTGAGAAGTAAATCTTTTTTTTAAAGGTTATTTTTATGGGCTTTTTTGCCTTTAATGGACAGGACAGTATGTGAAATGGGGAGAGAGGGAGAGTGGGGAATGACACGCAGCAAAAGGCTGCAGGCCAGCATCGAACCCATGGCTTCTGAAAACACAATACTAACATATTATCACCTTATATACTGTAAGCAAACAGTGGCTTATTACCTGAAGCGAAGTGAGTTGTAAAGCAAAACAATGAGTTAAAGTTGCACACTTTGTGTTGTGCTGACAGGAATTGCAAAGTTGCGTGATCTTTTGGATAGTTTGTCATGGCAAATGACCCCTGTGACAGTGCGCATCCGACAAAGACGCGCACTGTCACAGCAGAATTTAGCAAGAAATATTTTTTCATTCATGGTATTTTTATACAGTTTAACACAGATGTGAAAAGGTATCATGTCAATGAAAAATGTATGGGACCAAGGTGGAACCCTGGGGTACACCAAGCACAATGTCTTTTAGGGGAATTGGTTGTTACAGTGTGGTGAGCTTTTAGGGATACATGAGTTGGGCAAACTTAGTAAAGGTGAGAATAGTTTTTCAGGTAAAATGGTAGAAATTGTATCCTGCTACAGTCCAAACACAGTGTCACTTCCTGGCACTGTTTGTAAGCAATGCAATAAACCAGCAACCTTCCTGGGGTACTTCTATCAGCTCCATGCATCATTACTGTGACATACTGTCACAATCCCTGTCTCTCAGTCCTCTCCTGCCACTCTGCTGCAGTGTTTTTCCACTCCCCCTCCCTCTGCTTCACTCTACCTGCCAGCCGCGCCCACCTCATCAGCCCAACTCTGCTCACCTGCCTACACAGCTGCAGCTCATCAACCAGCCCTGCATATAAGCCTCTCCAGCACCTTCACTCACTGCCAGATTGTTCTTTAGCATTATGCGAGACTCTCCAGCGTTCTTCTCCTGCCTGATCTCCCGGTGCCAACTCTGCCTGTCCCCGACCTGCTCCCCTCGTCTGCCTCCCGGTAAACTCACCTGCCTTCTGTCCCCAACCTCGTGCTTTGCTTCAGCGTCTCTGGTTTCTGCCTGCTCGTCTGGTCTCGACTCCTCCGCCCGGCCTCGTCTACCCTCCTGCCTGCTCCTCAATGGTGCTACGACCCCCCCACCGGCTCCCGACCTCGCCTCAGCTCACTCCTCGTCGGCTTCTCAGCACGATCAGCCGGCACTTCAGCCTACGGTGCGTCTGCCTCGCCACCTTTGGCTGCCGTAAGCTTGATCTCTTTCCCTCATCTGAGCCTCAGAGACTGTGTGAGGGCAACTTGCCCGAAGAACGAACTTTATTCTGTGTTTATTCTGCCTGCTGCATTCCCTGTTTGCTGTGGTGCTAATAAAAGTCATTACCAACTGTTCCTGCGAGCCTGGTACTGCATTTGGGTCCACAAACACACCCGTTTCACATACTATATATTGTTTTAGTATTAGTAGTAGCCTTGTGGTGAACAATAATGTAATAATAGTATTAATATAGCAACTTGTAGCAGAAGTAAACAGTGGTAGAGTCAAACTGCAATACACAGCCAAGTTTAAATAAATCTTAAGTGTGCTGCTTCTATGTATTTACAGCACAGGTTTTTATTTTGTTCAACATTACAATGAATCATTTGTGTGTGTGTTTCCCATGGGTTCAGCACAAGCAGCCAGGGTGATCTACGAGGTTCCCCACATTGACTCTGAGGAGGAAGAAATGGACAAACACAGCACCAGCTCCTCCAGAGGTTCTTCTCAGTGGGTGAGTCAATGGCATCAATTGTGCAATGACACTTGCGCACAAATGTTGCGTGTAGAGGAACAGCAAACTGAAAAAAAGGTGGCAATAACCAGCTGGCTGGGTCTTGTTCCTTCCTATTCAGTGTGGTAAATAAGGTGTCAAATAGTATGAAGATAACGGAAACCACCTTTTGATGTGATCCTGTTACTTTGTAGACTTCAGTGGAGAAAATGTCTGTCGGCCATATATTGTTTAAACTGTCTTCACTCAACCTACTAAAAGTTTCCAACCTCTTTGCAGAATTGCTTTGCATGAGGGGTTTATATAATATGTGAGAGCTGAAGTGTGAGACATAAGAGTGACATGGTGAATGGTGTGAAATACGCGGGTGCACACCTTCTGTAAAGCTCACATTACTTTATCAACAAAGAAAGCCACATTAAATTGTAACTTCACTGGCGGTTATCAGTGTGATGTCGCTGTGTTACGCAGTATCCTACACTGACAGGTTTTTGTAACATTTACAACCAATTTAAAGAAAGATTCAGGACATGCAATTATCTCTTGGTACGTGCTACATAACACATGGTTTCTTCATTCTTCTTTCACCATAAATTGCAGTTAGATGTGATTTTTTTTTTTTTTGCTGTAATGCCTGTATGGTGTAATACAGTCCCCATAAACGATTAAATACCTGTGCAATACTTAAAATGTTCACTTTTTGTTGAGGCTTTAGCTACTACCTTAGTTGTTGAGATTGTACTCTGTTTTATTAGACTGCATTATGTTATAAGGAGTTTTTTTAAAATGTTTTTTCCATCCCATTGACATACACGGTAAAGCAACATCATGCAAAGCCAATATCCTATTGCACAAAAACCCCACAATCACCCACTGACATCTGGCTTTTTTATGTAAATGGGAAGGTTACAATTGGCATTAAAACCTGGGTCGATTGACTCTGCGTTAGTCACAGATATTTACGCCCCTTAACCAGCGAGATGCAATGACACGCTGTCACATTCAATATGAATACTCAATGTTTCTTTTTTTCCATATAAGGTATTAAATTTTGAACAGGCTCAGTGTGATGTTCAGTGTGACAGTGGTATTCATGTAATATAGTAAACAAGCTAATGGCACAACAACATTATTTTGCTGACGCTAGATATGAAACAATAGCCAGAGACTTTAAACAAACGGTCCTCAGACTGATGATCATGGGGAAGCCCCACTATTTTAGGTGGACTTTCCCGTGTTTAAAAACTAATGTACACACATTTTCACAAAATCAAGGACATATACACCTTAAATCAATGCAGAGAAGGCACAATAAAATTTCACCAGAGTGCAGTAATTTTAATTGTTTGATGCTAAAGATTTTCTGGCAGAGGACCCACAACCCCCACCCCATTTTATATGTGCTCCTCCCAGTGTTAAAAGAAAACCTACGCCTTTGTGGTAATGCAGTAAAACAACACCACAATCTCCAGGCATAATACACTGGCATTAAAATCAAAAAGCGTGTTTCATTATTGTCGTTCATACTGCTGTACTGGATCACGTTGCAGCGTAAAGACGTTTTTTCATCACTCACTTTAAGTATAATGTCCAATTTTTTAACTTGTACAGCTATATAGTATGCAGTAACTTCTAGTATTGAGACATTATTATGAAATATAGCTGACATCCTGTGTCTGACTAATTGTTCCCAGTACTCACGCCCACTCAGTTTTTCTAATCTGCACATCAGCAAAGGTCTTTCGACACATGTTGATACACTGCTTTACATTCACTGACGATGTGCGGTTACAGTAATTGTTTTGGTCTCTCTGTCTCTTGCAGTGTCAGGTACCGGTGTATGAATCATTTGATTACTTTGAACGTGTCCAGACCAAAGAAAGCGGATGAGGATCTACTTGGGGGAATTTCCAGTATTTTCTATCCATACTTTAAATCATGTATATATTATAAATGTACATTCATTTACTTACCTTTACCTGAATTATGTAAATGATTTTAAATGCATGTAAATATTTTATATTTTTCCATAAAGTCAGTCATTTCCATCTTTGTGGTCTGAGTTCATTTTAATGATGACAAGCTGTGTGTGCACTTATAGACAGGTTTACTTGTATCATTGCATTTGTTTTGACTTGATCATACCATCTAGTCAGTGTTCTGTATCACAGAGTGGTATTGATTCTGAAGCAAAGATGCAGGTTTCACATTGACATCAGATCACAAAAAGGACGCTGAGTGGAAACTGTGGTGTTACAGGTTGGCTGCATTATAGGTCACTGACAGGAAGTGGAAACAGCTCCTGTGGCGGTCGATGTAGTTTCTCCCTGGCCTTTCTGTGTGCATTTTCATCACACAAACTGATACAAAGCTTCTAAAATGGTCAATACTTAGTAGCTGACTTACTGTAAAAACATTTTGCTGACACAGTGTTTTACATTAGTAGTTACTCATTTCTCAATAGATGTGCTCTGCATTTCAGGTCATATGTGAATTTTCAAAAATTTCCAGTGACCACCTTGGTAAAACACTGTTAGCATAATTGAAAGCAGAATTACACTTAAAGTTAGCAGGAGTTTATACATACAGGTCAAAAGAACATACTCATTCCCCTAGCCTATATCAAGTTGAACATGTCATTACACAGTACCAGTGATTATATGAGTTACTGTTGCCTTTCTGTCATCTTGAACCAGTCTGGCCATACTCCTCTGACCTCTAGCATCAACAATGCATTTCCGCCCAGAGAACTGCCACTCACTGGATATTTTCTCCTTTTCAGACCATCCTCTGTAAACCCTAGAGATGGTTGTGCATGAAAATCCCAGTATATCAGCAGTTTCTGAAATACTCAGACGAGCCTGTCTGGCAACAACTATTGCCTAACGACTTTTCCATGTTTAAAGTCGCTTAAATCACCTTTCTTCATGTAGCCTGCATGAAGCAGGTTGTCTTGATTATGTCTACATATCTAAATGCACTGAGTTGCTGCCACGTGATTGGCTGATTAGCTATTTGCATTATGAGATGTTGAACAAGTGTTCCTAATAAATATGTATATATGTTGTTTACGTCTATGGAAGGCAGCAGTGGACTCTTCCCGGCATTGTGGTAAACAAAACATTATCTGAAGGCAGCTATGGACTCTTCTCGTAAACACAGTAAACATGGTAAACACAATTCCATTGGAAGGCAGCAATGGACTCTTCTTGTGAACACGGCAAAAACAACATAATTTATGGCAGCATTAAACTGTAGTCATGTTAGCATGTCAGTCAATCAATTCAATTAATTTTATCCATAAAGCCCAATATCCCAAATCACAATTTGCCTCAGAGGGCTTTACATCCCTCTGTCTATGACTAATGATAACAGCAGCAGCAGGAGGTATCAGGCAGGACCACAGTGGCAGTACAACCACGTCACACGATCCAGGCACAGCTGCGATACAAGGTCACCTGCCAGACAGTGGAGCACAAAGGCTCCAGAGAAGAAGCCGAGTTAGTGACATGCAGTAGAGCTGAGTTAGCGAGATGCAGTAACAGGACCAAAACAAGCCTTGAGATAAAGAGTTTCTGAGTTGTTTGTGGCCGAGAACAATAACTTAACATCAGGAAACTGAAGCTCATCCAGGATTTTATGTCTTTAAGGCATTTTTGAAGTTTAGTTAATTGATCCATTTCTTCTGGCTTTATCGATAAATATAATTGTGTATCATCGACATAACAATGGAAATTTACAGAGTGATTTCTAATGATGTTCCCTAAGGGAAGCATATATAAAGTGAACAAAATTGGTATGAGCACAGAACCTTGTGGAACTCCACAAGGACTTAAGTATGTAAATATGATTCATCGTGAACGTGAATGAACTGCAATCAATCAGATGAGTACGATTTAAACCAGCTTAGTGCAGAACCTTTTAGGCCAATTAAATGTTCCTGTCTCTGTAGCAGAATTTGATGGTCAATTGTGTCAAACGCCGCACTAAGATCTAAGAAAAACAGAGTACAGAGACCAGTCCTTTGTCTGAAGCAATCAGAAGATCATTTGTAATTTTTACTAGTACTGTCTCAGTGCTATGATGCACTCTAAATCCTGACTGAAATTCCTCAAATAAATTATTATCATTGAGAAAGTCACACAGCTGGTCTGCGATTTTTGAATAAAAGGGAAGATTAGATATTGGTCTATGGTTGGCTTACACCTCTGGATCCAGGGTGGGCTTTTTTAGAAGAGGTTTAATTACAGCTACTTTAAAGGACTGTGGTACATAGCCTGTTAATAAAGATATATTGATCATGTGTAATATGTATGTGTTAACTAAAGGTAAGACTTAAGTAGCCTAGTTGGGATGGGGTCTAAGAGACACGTTGATGACTTGGATGAAGAAATCATTGAGGTCAATTGTTGAGGAGTAATCTGGGAGAAGCAATCTAAATATATATTAGGTCTTACAGCTGTGTTTGAGGGCAGATAGGTACTATCTAAGGACAGAAGGTCATGAATTTTCCTTCTACTTAGAATTTATAAGATCATTACTCCTAAGGGCTAAAGGAATACAAGGCTCAATAGAGCTGTGACTCTCTGTCAGCCTGGCTACAGTGCTGAAAAGAAACCTGGGGTTGTTCTTATTTTGTTCTATTAATGATGAGTAATAGTTTGCTCTGGCATTGTGGAGGGCCCTCCTATTACGTTTTGAGACTGTCGACCCAGACCAAATGAGATCCTTCTAGTTTGGTTAATCGCCAATTCCTTTCAAATTTTCGCGATATTTGTTTTAACTTACGGGTTTGAGAGTTGTACCAAGGAGTGAACTTTCTTGGCTTGTTGTTTGCAGCGTGCCTGCAGCGCTATCGACAAGATAATCAATTTTGGAGAGCTTAAAGTCAGTATGGGAAACCTCTGCTACAGAGGGACATGATATTAAATTTAAAGATGGAATCCTTTCCTTAAATTTTGCTACAGCACTATCTGATACACATCTAGTATAATAACTGTTGCTGAATGGCGTGTCATCAAGTAGAAAGAAATCAAGTTATTAAGTAGTGATCTGATAGAGAGGGATTCTGTGGAAAGACTAGTAAGTTTTCAATTTCAATTCCATACGTCAGAACTAGATCGAGGGTGTGGTTAAAACATTGAGTGGGTTTATGGACACTCTGACTGAAGCCAATGGAGTCCAATAATGAGATAAACGCTGTAGCCAGGGAGTCATTATCAACGTCAACATGAATGTTAAAATCGCCTACAATAATAACTTTATCTGATTTAAGAACTAAACTGGATAAAAACTCTGATAATTCAGATACAAATTCAGAATACGGGCCAGGAGCACGGTACACTATAACAAATAAAAGTGGCTGCGAGGTTTTCCAGGTCAGATGTAAAAGACTAAGGACCAGGCTTTCAAATGAATTATAATCTATTTTAGGTTAAGGGCTGATTAATAGACTAGAGTTAAAAATGGCTGCAACCCCCCCTCCTCGGCCGCTGCCTCGAGGAATGTGGGTATTACTATGACTGGGAGGAGTGGATTCATTTAGAGTGACATATTCGTTGTGACACAGCCAGGTTTCAGTGTGGCTGAGTAAATCAATATGATTATCTGATATTAATTTGTTTACTTACACTGCTTTAGATGACAGAGACCTGATATTTAACAGTCCACCCTTAATTCTCCTGTTTTGTCTTTCTGTCACAGAAGAGGTTTTAATTTCTATTAGGTTGTTATGCACAGCTCCTCTTTGTTTAACTTTTGATTTAAATAATTTAGGTGGTCGGGGGACAGACACCATTTGCATAACTCTATGGGTGGGTAACTGCATTGGAAGCTTGAGAAGAGTTTAAGACTGCGACTGTGATTCCTGGTCTCATCTCTGGGTTGTCAGGGTTTGGAATTACTAATAAACTTGGACAGGTTCCTAGATATGAGAGCAGCTTCATCCAAAGTGGGATGAATGCTGTCTCTCCTAATCAGACCAGGTTTTCCCCAGAAAGTTTGCCAATTATTTACGAAGGTTGTCAATTATTCACTGGACAGCCAGACGACACAACAGATGATATCAGTTATATTGTAAAGGTAATGACTAATACGTTAATAAATACTAGCCTGGTTGGCGCCCACTAATTGGCAAGAAGTTTGGTGATACAGAGCCAGTTGGCCTAATGAGTCAGCCCCTCACAGGCTGATAAAAATATTAAAGGCAAAAGAGAGACACTCCTTTACTCATGGGAACAAAACAAACTTGCACAACCTCTAACCTGCATACCAGCTGTAAACCATACCTACTGATATAGACTACAAAAGGTGTTAACCACCACACGATGTGACTGTAGCCTTCTCATGCTTTCGTGCTATTTCTTTCTCTTGCAGACATTCACCCCTGTTCGTACATGTTCACAAAACCAGTGGAATACAGTGATACATTGCTTTTGCTATCAAGCTCATACATTTGATCTTTGGAATCCTAAAAACATGACTTAAAAAGAGAGGACGTTCCTGTAGTAGTTCCTGCCCCCCAAATAGTACCAGGAACTTCTTCAGTGGAAACGGGCCTCTTGTGGTTGTTTTGTGTCTTTTTGTCATTGTCTGGGTCTCGTTGAGATAATTTTGTGTCTCTTTAAGGTAATTTTGTTTTTGCAGTCATTTTGTGATTCCTTGTGGTTGTTTTATGTGTTCTTGTCATAGTATAGTGTCTCTTTGTGGTCAGTTTGTGTCTCCTTGTGGTTGTTTTGAGTCTTTTTGTCGTTGTCTGGGTCTTGTTGAGGTAATTTTGTGTCTCTGTAAGGTAATTTTGTCTTTTGGGATTCCTTGTGGTCATTTTGTGTCTCCCTGTAGTTATTTTGTGTCTTTTTGTAGTTGTTCGGGTCTTTTGCGGTAATTTTGTGTCTCCTTGAGGTCATTTTGTGTCTTTTGGAGTCATTTTGGGATTCCTTGTGGTTGGTTTGTATGTCCTTGTCATTGCTTAGTGTCTCTTTGTAGTCATTTTCGTGTCTTTTTGTAGTCATGTGGGTCTCTTTGAAGTAATTTTGTATCT